TCAGCTCCAGCATGGGAAAGCTCTCTGCTACAGGCTTAACTGGAGCACTCAAGAGCAATTGGTCCAAGCTAAAAGTTGCTGGTCCCTTGAGTGCATTATACTGGCTACACATAAACAGAAGAAAAAGCACCCAAGATTACAAATGTACATACTTGCACCTTTAAAATGTCCAAATTTAGAGTTAAAAGCTTATTATGAGAAGGATTATCTGAGAAAGAGAAACTAGGAAATGCTTTAAATGGTTTAGAAGTTGCCCAGAAGAAACAGCGTTGACTGAAATGGCACGCGGGTTTAAAAAAGCTATACATGGGAAAGAGCATATATTTAAAGCATCCATTAAAATGGCATATTGGTAAAAAAAAGCATGTGATAAGCAATTCAGAACCTGGAATTTGTGGAAAACCGATTTGAACAAAGGAAATACAGAAGGACATAGGAAGACAACCGTAAAAGCCACGTTTCTGCTCCATGTTTGGGAAAAAACATGACATAACCAGATGATAATGAAATACTTTCCATTCCAAAAGTGACAAGGAAGAGGGTTAAATAAAGACCATTTTTCAATCCAGGTGCAATAATTCAAACTGTGAAGCTTTAAAAGAGCAGACTCTCTACAACATGAACACTGATTTTCAATTTGGCTCAGAAACCTGGGGAAGTTCCAGGGGGCTGGGGGGGAAAAAAAAACCCTTTATGTTGTGCCAATATGTGAAAAAGTAACCAGGAGGCCTTGAGTAATTACAGACCTCTTCCCTGAAACTGCTCCAAAGCCAAAGAATAGGCAACTGATATGGGGCTCGTTAATAAAGAAGCCGCAGATAATGTAATTAATGCCACAGCTTTGAAAAGGGACCCTGCACAATGGGCTTGGCATCTTTTCTGCGAGATTAGAGTGTTGCTGATACAGATAACAGCACTGATGCAGTGATCTTTGACTTCAGTAGGGCGTGTGAGTTAAGATGGCTTGATACTACAATCCAGAAGCTAAACTCGTATGGAAGCAAACTTGGTCAATGGGGGACAGGGTGGAATCCAACCATGAGCAGATATCTCTGCCTCCATTGGCAATGGGAACCTAGACAACTAGCTTAATGCGCTTCCCTTGTTGTCAATCCTGAAAGGCTGAACAAAGACTTGGAGAGGCTTAGCACCTTTTCAGGAAACATTTCTGTTAATAGACTGCTTTTTCAATCTATCAAAGGTACAACATGTTTAGAAGCTCATAGTCAGGGCAAAACAACTTTAAACAATATTTCTTTTCAACAACACATTCTAACTACTCCCTGAAAGAGCTGTCTGGGATATGCTTCATATTGGGAAAGCTGAAATCAAGGATGGACCATTTCCAAAGGAGTCTGCACTCATTTAAGAAGAATAGCTTCCAAGAAATCTTACAGGACGGATTAGCAAAAGATAAGGTCAAAGAAAATATAACTTTGATCTATAGTGTTTATAGCAGGAGTTTTAGGGGAAGAAATGCTTCCTGGTGGTAGCACCAGCTCCAACCTCTTCTCCCTGGCCCTTCCCTCCTCGGAGGGTGCAAGGAGATTTGGCCTCCCTGCCTAGACAACACCGTGCCCTGTCCATCCCCAGCTGCTCGGGGCCCAGGAGAGCAGGAACTTGTGCAGAAGCCACTTGCTAAACCAAGAATGGAATGGCTCAGCCCATGAATGCCTCCATCACCACTTTTTGCAAGGAAGGACAACGGATTTTGCTCAGTTTTTGCTTTTTTTTGCTTTTGGTTTGTGTATATGACAATGAGGTGCTAGATTTGGGAAATTACTTGGTGCCACTTGTACCAGCTCAAGAAAACTGCCAGGTCCTGGAGGTGCTTCTGTGCTCAGACCACCAGGGTTCCCCGCTTGTCCACGGCTACAAACAACTGGCAGCATCTGGATATTAGAGCAGGGTATCCAGAGAGCCAACAACCAGCAGGGACCAGTGGGGCACTAGATCAGATTTACTCCTCAAGGGTTCATCTTCATTAGGCAGGATGGGCTGAGCACTAGCAGTTCGTGATAATTACTCAAAAAAAACAAGATCCAAGAGTACATATGTCTCCTGATTTAAGAAGGCTTCAGATTGCTTTGATTTGAAGGCAAGGGATGAGAGCAGATGCTCTGATAGCACCTTGGCATTAAGCAATCAAAAAGGTGCTAACAAGAAATTAGCAACTACACCTCCACTAATTGCTTTGAAGTTATCTTTTCAAATACAGTAGGAAGTTCCATTGTAGTTTTTTTGTCATAAAACAAGCTTCCCCCCTTCTCAATATATGAATTGCATCTAATCAAGAGCACCACATTTTTTATTGCTTTATTCTGCAGGAACGTTTCTTGGTGCGTTCAAAAACAGAAAAGAAAATAGTGTTAAAGTCTTCTATGTTGAATATCAGATATTTAAAACCTCAGAATAAGAATTTTTAGTTAAACTGAGACACAATAGAAAAAAATCTCACAGAAGGTTCTCACAGAAGGTTCTTTATTTTGCCATCCAGGTCATAACAAAGCACTAGCTCATTCACTGACGCTTAAATATTTGCCTGGCCCAGCAGGAGGGACATGTTCATGCACTGTGCCACACACAGGCATCTCTGCCACTAGCACAAACATCTGCAAAGTGAGGAGTGGAGACAAGCATTTGCAAACCAGTGCACTGTTCTGGTTTACTTAGCCTTCTGCTTCCTGCAATTGTTTCTGAAAAATTACTTATTTTTGGCAAAAAGCTGCCTGCCTGCTGGCTTGCACATGCTATCAATCAGGAAAGTGTTACCAGCATCGCTCTACATTTTCCCTTTCAGGCTGCAGGAGGGTTCAGGGGGGAGAGCAGCCAATGATGCCTCGATCTAGGCATCCTCCCAGCCTGTCCCCTTGCAACAGTCCCCCCATAAACCAGAAAGATGCAATATTGCAAAATAAATTTCTCACACTATAGAAGCAGACTGGAAATTCAAAAACCTTGCAGAGATGTCAGACGCTGTGAGATTTGCCTTGTTGATATTTACAATGACCATGCCTACTGACTATTATTGAGCAACTCATGCTTAAGAAAACATCAGCAGTTTCAAGACTGATCCTGACTCCAACATCATAAATTCAGTAGCAAAATGACATTTTAAAATCAGGAAAAAAAATCTAGGAACCAGCCTGAACTCTCCAAGTACATCAACAGGTACAGTTTCAACTGAAATCTGTGAGATTTGGCCTGTGTTTAACTTTCAACTTTAGGACCCCAAATTTCATTGCTTTGGAAAAAGCCATTTAGTCTAGTAATCTACCCCACCATCCCACACATATCCAGCTACTGTGGGATGCAGGAGACAGAAAATGAAAAGAAATGGGTCAGAACTATCCATCTTTTCAAGACTGATCAGTTATAATCTACCCCCATAAAAAAGATACAAGACAATGTAATTTAAGCCTAAATTAGGTTGCCAGCAAAAAGCTAATCTATTGCCTTCACTTTCTTATATCTTTCTCAATCATCACATCACCTCTTTACAATTATTTAACCACTACTAGCAATTGGAGGATGCACTAACAAGCCCATCTGCTTCTAAACGAATGAACAAAAACAGAAAGCTCAACTACAAGCTATAACAGTTTTGGACAGTTCCTGCAGCAGAGCTGATCTGCTGTCCGTTATTTTTAAGCTGTAACATGTTAGTAGCTTTTTTTTTAATAAATCCAAATGAGCCTTTAACAGCAAAAAATCCTGAGGCATCTCTGATCCTGATTAAGTGCTGTAAAAAAAATCGTCCCAAAATCAGAATATCACTAGCCTTTCCTCTGTGGGCCCATGAATTTTACCTACTTGCTTTCTGTGGCAGTACCTCATCAGTTTACAGTGATCCAGACTCAAGAATTAATTTTTGTGAGTTAGGGACAAGATTTTCAGATATGTGGGGAAAAAAACCCAACTTTGCCATTTCCTCACTAGTCCAAGTTCATTATCATCAGCAGATACCCTATTTCTAAGTACCACTATCAGCAGAACAGCAGCAGAGGGCAAGTACATGCTCATCTCCATGCCCTGCCTGCTGCTATGACACTTGTGTCCTGAGTAAATCCCTCACATGCAGAGCACAAACGCAGCCGTAGAACAAAAACAACAACAACAACAACAACAACAAAAAAAACCCAAAACAACAACAACAAGAAAGGCCATTTGGTCAAATAGGCAGCTTAGTTTGTGTTAAGAAGCCAGTGTGGCACAGCTAGACTGTTTAAACGAGGCGTGATAACAAAGACCATGCATAAGCGGTTAACACCAAAGCCTAAGAAGATGAGCAGAAGACAGAAGGTCTCCTTATTGCTCAGTCATGCAAGAAAGGCTCTATTTACATTTGCTGACAAGTTTTACATTTGCTGGCAAGTTTCCACATTGGAATATCTGTTTGCATGAATTCAAACCCTGAACCTTGGCTAGAAATCACACATGAACTAGAAACATAAAGGCCTTGCAGCCTGTTTGGCTCATGGCATCTTCTGATAGGCCCTGATGCAGGAAGCAGCAGCAACTTCAGCTTCTCCCAGGGACCACCACAGTCATTGACCCCCAGAATCTCTTTTCACCACTGCACAACCTCAGCTCTTGCAGGTCAAGGGCAGCAAGCAGCAAGTCTTCCCTGCACAGATGCTAACACCCCAAATGGAGGTCGAAGCAGCAGTTATAATTCTAGACATAAAACACTATTTTCTCACCAATGCCTTCATTGAGCCACCCTCTTGGGCTCAAAGCAAGTGTCCAGGGAGCTCACCTTAAATTCCACCACTTCTGAGAGAACAGGTTACATTCCAGCCAATTAAAAGAGGGATCAAAGAAAACCAACTTGCAGCCTTGCCTGGATTTTGTGGGTTTTTTTTTTTTTCCTTCTATGATTACTATTATGCTGACTGGTTTCCCCAGGGGATATTACATTGGCCAGGCACACCAGAAGGAAATGTGGCGAAGGCATCCCCTGTACACACCTCCCCACAGGCCATGCAGGAGAGCCATACCTGAGCCGACGGGTCCCGGATTTCATTGGTTTCTTTTGGCACCTACACAGATAGAGAGAAAGAGGAAGAATATCACTGCCAGGGAACAGAACTCACGCAAGCGCGTGTGTTTTGTTGGCTCTGGCATTTAACCCACTGCCTCCAACTGCCCTGGAAGAATCCGGGGAATGCACACTGGGAACCAGCCATTCATAACTACATTAGAGAATATCTTTTGTTTAGACCTCTTTAAGTTCTTGGGTGGGTTTTGTGTTTTTTTTGAAGCTCCTCAGATCTATGGAGGGCCAGCAATGGACGGGAGCTGGTGTGATGTCAGGCAGAGTTATCCCATGGAATTCCCACTTGCAATCAACATATTGAAGCTTAAAATAAAACCATTTCTGGGTTGGCTAAACCACTGCAGCCTCTCCAGTGAGCATTCTAGGCCCACAGAGCCCAAGATAACAGATAGTAAGAGCGCATTAAGGGGAATCCATTGCCTTGCAGGCTCAGAGCACACCTCCTGTAGCTTGTTTAATCATAGAGATTTGCTCTGTTTTAGCCTTAAGAAGTGAGTTCGACTTTCCTTATGGAGCTATCACCAGCAACTAAGGGCTGTCAGCATGAGAAATGCCAGGTATCATTTTGGGGTTGACTGTAGCATTTACTGTGAACATAAACACACTGATCAGACTTAAACCAGGCAAATAACCCACAAGGCCTCTTCATCTCTGCTCCCTATGACGTATTTGGCCTTCTCGGCACTTAGTCTCTGTCAAAGCCAACTCCTGGTTAATCCGTTATGATCAGGGCTTTTCCGAAAACCTTCCTCTTAAAATAATAAATATGGAAACTGATGCAGCACAGCACAGGATATTAAGTAACTGCAAGTCCATTCCAGGATCAGAGGCAAGGGAAGAGATGCAGTGGGAAAGTAACATGAGCAGAGCATTGCTGCTGCATCTTGGCTGCTTTGACTTATTTTGCACCAAGAAACCCAGGGCAAGAAGCCAGCAAGGGAGATGGAGAGGGGGCAGACGATCCATCCGACACCCAGGTCCCTTCCTGGCACTGCCCCTTGCCACCAGCCTATCCAGCTCCTCACTGGACCACTCCAAGGGCTTTACACACAAGAGGCTAGTGGCAAAGATGATGCTAGAAACTTCCTTTCTCCCAGAAGCAAGCCTTCTCCGAGCAGCTAAACAGTCTTTCCAGCTGGCAATGAGACAACCAATTTGAGCATTCCCATCTTCCCGTTAAAGGCTACTGCACTTGTCACTGAAAACCCATCATGGCTGACTTCCGTGGTTGGCCTAGAGAGACAACAGGTCTCTCGGGTCCAACTCCTGGCTCCTGAGGAAAGGCAGGGTGGTTCAGGCTCTCAGGGGTTTACTGCAGTTGATCAGGGCTTCTTTCCATGGGAGCAATTCTTTAAGAATGACTGAATACTGTAAATGAAAAATCCACAAAACTACCATTTTTCAGCTATGCTGACAACTTCAAGGAGACAACATCTGAAAGGAGCATGCACCAAGCAATGCAATACTAAGATCTTGCTGGGGGGAAGCACACATTTCAAAGGGAAACACACTGCCTGAGTACAGCTTTCATTCCCCTCACAAAAAGGGAATCTCCAGCTGCAGCATTACTCAATAGCTAGTCAGAACTTCCCTGTTTTAAACACATGCACATGGGCAGTCATTTAACACACCCAGGCTTTGACTCAGAAACTTTTCCTCTAACTCATTTGCTGTGTGCATCAAATCTCTCTATGACTTTAAGGGAGGGCTTGAATGACAAGAGGGAACCACCCTGTGTGCTGGCCACCATCCCCATTAGAACCTCACTGCATCTCAACATAAGCCAGATCTTTCCAGAATGCATCAACCCACTGGCTGGTTCCTTCCATTTGATTCAGGCTGGCTGCACCAGATGAGAGCTTGGTCCAACACCCCCCTTGTGTGTCAGTCACCCTGGGTCACACCTCTGGCCAAGCTGGTGCATGCTCCCATGGGGAATGTGAAGGGTTGAGGAAGGTCTCGGGGCGGAGGGAGCCGGTGCACATTGTGTTGTAGCTGCGGCAGTGCTCGCCAGCGGCTGTGGAGTCTCCCATCACGAAGGTCAGCTGCTGCAGAGCACCCTGGGGAGGAAAAGACACAGAAACCAGTTTTCCCGTGTGCCTTGCTAGGTTGCCTTCTCTTTTCCTTAGATAAGCTCAGGGCAGGTGAACTAATCTGTCACCAATGCAGCACCACTAGTGCGTGAGTAGCTTTTCTGCATGATATGAGTGCACAGCGGAAATGTCTGAGCCTGCTCCTTCTACCTGATGCTCCTCTGCTTGCCAGCAGCACCCAGTGCCAAGAGCAACATGTCAGAGCTACCAGCTGATCTCTTCATTGCAGGATCCAAATGGAAATCTGAAATCTTCCTCCGCAGGTCTGGCTGGGCAGCCTGCTACAGAAGAGGGAGATTAGAGCTGCCCTGCAGAAACGGAGAAGGGCTTCACGCTGGTGGTACATAATAAGGATCTCAAAGGCACCCTGGAGACACTATGGGATCAGAGACACCGCAGAGATGAGTTCCTTGATCAAATCCCTTGCCTGCTGACTGTACAGATGACTTCGCTGCATGGCACAACTCTCAGTCACAGGAAGGTGCATGAGGGGCTATGTTCGGTTAGGCTCAGGGCTACAGCGCCTTCAGCTAGCTCAGAGCTGGTGTCTGCCCAAACGGCAGCACAGCCTGAGCATCCCAGCATGATAAACAAGTGATGGCAACTTTCTCCTCTGATGTCTCCAGGCCACTGAGCACATCGTCCTGGTGGAAATGAGGCTGCTCCATCACAGCATCCCCCATGGATCTTGCCTCAGACATCCACAGAGCTGTTATTTTGTGCTTCCAAATGCTCAGAATGCCCTCATGAGAAATCAGTAGGTAACTAATGCAAACATCAACCAAATCTCTCCTTACATCTCCTCTGAGAAGCCCCCTGCCCTCATGGCAGGAAGCAGTGTCAGAGAAGCATCTCTCAGGGGTTCTCTGCCACTGATGCTTGTGTCTCCCCAGATCAGAAGCAAATGTTTTGCATACTTCAAAGTCTTTATCCACCGTGTCATGAAAATGCAAGGTGTGTTTTAGCAAGAGAGGAAAACAGATTTCTGAAGAGTTGCAACCTCACGCTACCCAACTAAAGCAGACATGCCAGGTCTGCCCAGGCTCTCACCTCAAAAGGAATCTCAAAGGATTCAATTAGGCCTCCAATGATGATTAGCCCCTGGGTGGTGACCCTCATCCCGAAATAATTGGACCAGCTCACTCTCTCCACCAGCCGACAGTCCACGTGTAACTCCAGTCTCTCCAAGGAGATGCCAAGAGCAACTTGGTGCCAGGCTCCATCACCAAGAAGGGAAACTGGGAACCTGTGTTTCCCAGGGGGAAAGGAAAGAGGCAAAATGAGATCCTCAAGGTAGATGCTAAGGACAGTACAATAGAAAATAAATCTACCATATTGTCACAAGTAGGTGCCATCACTCCTCTTGCAGCTTGAGGATACTATTTCTATCCAATGAATTTGGGCACCTCTACAACCAGACAAGATGTCAGAAATAACTGCTATCTGTGGCTCTCCCCATCTGATTCATTCCCAGATTTTGCAGGGCAACCTGTAGGCTACCAAAGCAGCAAATACAGAACCTCGTCTCTCCACACAACCCCAGCACTTTCCCCATGGCTTGTGGTTGCGACTTCCTGCACACCCAGGAGCGTTTGCAGGAAGGGACGACAGGGTTTGAGGCAAGGCAGCGATGCTGGCCTGGAGCTTTCACCACTGTGCCCGTCAGTGCTACCAGATAGCCAGAAATGCCACCCCAGTCTGCAGGGCTCCAGCAGCTTCCATGCATGTTCTCTGGGAACAAGCACATGTGCAGCCATGCCACCAGTTCTGAGACTGTCACCCAGATGGGGAGACATGACTGATTCAGCTCAGCTTGGATCAGAGCAGCTCTCCTCACCAAAGCTCCAAGTGCCTGCTTTGGGAAACCTTGTTGTCAGGCTTGAGAGGAGAAAAGGAAGAGGAGAAGCATGAAAAGGAAAAAGAAAAATCAGCACCTGAGCTAGAACTTACTCATAGTGTCTCCTCCTTGTGGTGACAAAGATCAAGGCATGTGGGTTAATCCTTATCTGGAAGAGCACATGGCTCCGATGGCTAAGGATGGTCACCAGGCTGGTGTCCTCCTTCAGCGAGTACCTGAGCTTCATCAGCACACTCAGCTCGTCTGCAAACCTAGCAGAAAGAAGCAACATTTAGCATCCTGCAGCAGCTGGTGAGACACCCCAAACTCATCTTATGCACAGAAAACCAAGTCAAGGTGCAAATGAATTCAGAGAAGCAAGAAGAAAAAAAAATATATATATATATAAAATATATACATATATATCAGATATATATATCAGATATATATATCAGAATATATATATATATATCAGAACAATCCATTACTGAGATTTTAAGGTCAGATACTCAAAAAAAAAGGAATAGCAACAACAGAATTAGCCTTGCTTTAACTTCTATGCTTCCCCCCTATCCCACGATTTTTTTAAATGTGAAATACAATAGCGATCCAAAAATATACATACTTCATTCCCTTCTATCCCAGGGAAGGACATGGCACTGTTATCTTTGCTTTGTAGGTGAGGAATTGTATCAGAGAGCCACTTGGGTTTGGATTTTAATATGCTAAATTGAAACTGCCTTGGAGCTGTTTTCAGAGAGATGATTTATAGCCTAGAATATTTTCAAGAGAAGAGGCTTAGATACACCCCAGAACAGGGGTCAGGATGCTATCCTGACAAACAAGACACTTTCTTTGAATAAGGAGACCCAAATTCAAATCTCTTTGATATCAAGCACAGCAGAGGTTTGACCTAGCCTGTTCTTCTGTGGATTAGTGTCTTGACATTAAGCAATGCTGGTGGGTGAACTTGTACACCTTATTGCTCTCTCCCACTCTGTGCTGGGCTAGAAACGATGTGTGTCCCCTGCACATGACCAACAGAGATGGAAGAAATCGTAGAAGTAGTGAGCTATGAAGAGAGAAGAGTGGATACATTATATTTATGCTATTTTGGAATGGGACCATAAAATAAAGCCTCAAACTAACAAGCATGTTGCATATGACTTCAAACCCTTCCCTCCCACCTCGAAGTCATCTCACCTGTCCCCAAAGGCCTCCCTCGTAGGCATGTTGAGGGTAGAGTACTGCCCAACCTCCAAGACACTGCAGTTGGCTTCACTGTAGCCAAAGGAAACATTGCTGAGGTCCTGTGCATGCAAAGCCATTTTGTGCAGCAAGTTCACTTCATCTGCATTGGGGAAGAAGACAGACACTTAATATCCAAGCTTCCTTCCTTACAGAGATTTCTTCTCTTCATTCTTCTGACTAACAGCTAAAGTCCAACAGAAAGAAGCCAACAAAAAAAGAATGCAAGCTGGAAGAGCTAAAACAATTCATAAATATAGCAAACAGCTCGGGCCAAAACAAATATTTAGATAGCCTCAGGCATAGCCAAGCCATTTTTCTGAACTCAGATCATCATTTGGAGGCTGGTCTCCTAAACAAAGTGCCATTCCCACCCAAGGAGTGGTGGTACCTTTATGACCTTATAGTTGGGATGCTCACGAACATAAAGTAGAGCCTGGGACACAGGTATCACACAAGTCCTAGCTCAGCTGGGTACAGAAAATCCAACTCGAGCTTTGTCAATTTTTTCGCTGAAATTTGTTCACTTTCAGTGAAAAAATGCACCAAGGAGAGGAAGGAAATTCATGTGTCCCTCACTAACATGGGCGACCTATCCAAATTCCAGGCACTCTTCTCTGCCTGTAGAAGGGTTTATTGCTGTTATGCCTCACAAGGAGGCACACATCATGAAATCCACCTGCAGGGAAAGAGGTAAGGCCCATTTTCAGCACTATGCTGTGAAGATGCAGGATGGTTCTAATTGGCCAAAATCCGTAGTCTTGGCCAGGGGACAGCGCCATAACTTCAAACTCTTGAGTAGCTTTTAACTCCCTTAGTGAGCTGAGACATTCCCCTTCCAAGTTCCTTCTTTGAAGAATCATTTAACTAAATAAATACCTGAGTGAAAGCTTTTGTTTAAAACCAGGAGGTTTCTTGTTCACTTCCATTAGTTTAAAGCAAACAAATGCAGATGTCTGGCTCTGCCCAGACACACAACCTGAGCCATGTCTAGAACCGTGTGCCTCAATTCCTGCCATCCCTTTCTGTTGCAGTCACCACAGCAACAACTCCACTACTTGCAAGCGGGGGGAAGAGGGAGCACCCGAGACAGCACCCGGCATGTCCAGCCTGGTGGCAACTGCCTCCTGGATCACTGCAGACCCAGACACCGCTAGCAGGAGGGCTGGACAGTCCCACTTGATGACTTGTCAAAAGGAATCAGGCCAGTGCCATCTGCATTAGCATCTGCCATCACTTGGGAGACATCCAGCCTCTGCAAGTCACTCTTAATTCCCCCTGTAGATAAGGTGTGAGATTTATCCCAGGGCAGAGAGCCTCAGGCAAGCTACAGCCTCCCAGGATATACGCATATGGCACAGATCCACTGCTTTGCTAAACAACAAGTCAATTGAGCAGAAAGCTGCTTTGACCCACCTCACACACTAACATAGCAGCCCTGTTGCAGTCTGCCTGAAAGATTTTTGCAAGGGAAAACAGCTGCACACAGGGATTTGTAGGGGAGTCTGCCATTTGTGGTGGCTTGGGCTTTAATCTGATATTTTCTCAGCTCCCTGAGTGGTTACAACCTTGATACATTCCCAGGCAACTCCCAGTTCAGCAACACGAGTGCACAGCAGCTTTCTGAACCAGGAACATCTTAGAAAGATGGTAACAAGCCAGAGAGGACTAGGGGTCGAGTCCTCAGTGACTCGGACAGGCAAATTCTGCAAGCTCGGTGCTGTGCCAGGGCTTATCAGCGCTGAAAGCGGGCTGTGTACACAGAACAGGGAATTAAGCTGGGATCAAACACAGTTAATGGAGGAAAGGGATTGTGGATGTTCACCCCTTCCCAGTCCCCAGCCTTGGGGGGTCACTCCCCAGCTGTTGACACAAGCAAAGGTGCCAAGTGCTGTGTCCAAGGGCTGTGGTGCACATCACTACTCAGCTTTGCTTGCAAGTGCAGGAAGACAACCATGAAATAGATGGGTCCTACATCACCTTCCTACACAAGCTGCAGCTGAGGATTTGCTACCAAAGGGACATGGTTAAAGGGAAGTTCCTTCCTGAACATGGTACAGCTTGAACGGATGGCTTAAGCATGCGCCAAAGGTTAAAGACACATCCCTGCTGCCAAAAAATGCAGTTTAAGTTAAATGTACACTTGTCGTTTTCCTAAATAAAGTAGTGTTAAAGCCTTCCCTCACAGCCTAGTAACAAGAGGTGGCTGGAGAACCATTACAACATCAGGTCTGGAGCAGCAGGTTTCAATGCAGAGTGGACATTTACATCTGGAATATCTCACCTGCAACGTGAGAAGCATTTGGTATGAAAAGCAAAACCGCTAGGACTGAATTTCATGGGCTCTGTTACGGGCCTGGAGGGCAGGCAGCCCACACACCACAGACGCTGGCCAGCAAGGGCAACCTGCTGAGCTGCCCAGGCCACGAGCTGCCCCAGCACAGCAGAGGAGCTCCCTGTCCCCAGCATAGGGTCAGGGACTGTGTTACACTGCACAGGGCTAGCACAAGGGAAGGAAGCTTCTTCCCCTATCCTGTCCTCCCAGACACCACACAGATGCCAGAGCGCCCACTGAAAAACTGGACAAAACTGCTCCCGATGCACTTTTAGAACACATTGAGCATAACAAATCAACACCTTTGCTCTTCACCCTTGAACCAAAAGCCCATTTGGGCCTTTCCTATGCTGCAAAGGAAAATTTTAGAGTTCGTTAGCTGCTGCCAAATGCAGTTTGCCTGAGGGCTCCTAAAGCAAGACGGGCAGCCCAGTGCCAGGCAGACTTGCACACGGGCCAGCTTCAGCAAGGAAAAGAACTGGCCAGGGGAGACCGAGCCAAGAACATGTTATCCCAAGCTGAAGTTTAACAATGGTCACCCCATGACTTGTCTTTGTTGGCCTTTGGCCACCATGCAGAGTTAAAACTCTCAAGGAACAACGAGAGAAACTCTTCCAGCTGACACAAGCTTAAAAACAGGTCAGGAACCATAGCAGATATTCCATGTGGACTGAGCAGCCTAGCACAAAAAGGATATAACTCTAGTGGCAAATCCACCCTTCCAGGGGAAGGTGGCCAGGCTGGTGCGGTGAGGACCTGGCTTGGAGCACAGGTACCTGCCAGCCAGCTAAACCCCAGGGAAGGAGCCAGGGAGCAGCCAGGCCCAGCTGCTTCCTCGGCCAAGGTGACGCCAGCACAGCAGTGCCATCACTGGCAACCAGACTATAGCAGCAGCCCCAGGGAAGGGGAGCCACAAACCACATCCAGGATCTATCCCCAGAGCGCAGCCAGGAGGCAGAGCAAGCAAGGACAGAGATAAGACTGAAGAAAAGGCTACAACACAGCTCCTGATTCCACCCAAGAAACAAGACCAGAAACATAACTGGAGAAAAGCTACAGACATACACACAGAGGATCCCTCCAGAAAGAAGCAATCTGCAACACAGGTCCAAGGTCCAGCCAGGAGACATGGCTGGAAGCAAGTGCAGCAGCAACACAGCTCAGGAAAGAGCTGAGAGGCCAGGCCCGGCCTTAAATAGGGCCCCAGGCTGGGAGACACAAGTGAGGATGGTTAAGAGAAATAAGTTCTCCCACCTCACACCAAGGTGGCCAGGCGCAAGCTGTCATGGTCATGCATCTGGCCAAACATTTGCCTCCCATTGCTGCTTGCTGGTGTGCAATGACACCCACCAGACCTCAGCTTGGTTTATCTGTGTGCATGAAACCTGTACAGAAGTTTAAGTTCTTGCCCAAGGAGGAAAACTAGAGAAAAGGGGATTATATTAAATATGAGAACTTAACTGAAGCACTTGCAGAACTCACAACACGATCTGTTCTGAACCACTCCCTGTCACCACGTGTTGGGACCTGAAATAACTGGGCTGGACACACCCTGGACACCACCCCTGTGAAAAGAGCCCAGTGCTGGCTGCCTGGGGCCAGCACACATGACCTAATAGGTCTCCCCTCCCTCTAATTTCTGTGATTGCCCTTATGAAAATATCCTGCTAGGAGTCTGGTTAGGATCAGAAGCCACTTACTTCAGTGGTGTTTTCAAACTCTGAATTAGAGATGCTTGTACATCACAGCTTAAGTGTAATAGAGCGCTCTGCATTAAGTGATGGAAAAAAAGAGGCCTTTATAGCAGGGCAAGGGGTTCCTGGCATCTCACACCACATTAGCACATGCACAGGCCATAACTAAGCATTTCAGAATGAGACAGTCCTCCCAAAACATTGATGTTTTCCCACTCCTGTCATGGCTCTCCACCCTTTGCCTCGTGAAAGACATTCTTGGGTTTGCAGGTTCTGCCTTTTTCTCTTCTGGAGGAGGCATGTTTGGAATGTTGCCCATTGTGATTGTTGGGGACAACACTTCCAAGAGGGTGACCTGGAGCAGCATCAACAAGATAAAGGTGATAGCTTCCTTAGCTTCAGAAAAAGGTGCAAATATGCCTTTCCTAAATATTTAACACCAGAGGAAAGAGCATGGCAAAAACAACGTTGTAGCTTTGCATTTGTTTGGATTTACCTGATGACTTCGCATGCTGTGGGTGGATAGGGCCAAGAACACACAATAATACTGGGCATCGACCCTTCAGCAGCTCTTTCCACTTCACGTGCTCCTCTAGCGGTGCTTGTACCACAAATAATGTCCACAGCACTCAGCCGTGTCACCTCCTGCACGTCCCGCAGCTTCTGCTCCCTCTGTCATTTCATTATTTCTTTTAAAAGGCAACACAAACCACATGGGACAAGGGTTAAGCCGAAACGCACACAGCTCACGGTGACGTTCGCACATTCAGGGGGTTATGCAATAGGATTTAAACCTTCACCTCCGTGCTCTGGAGAGCAGAGAGAATTTGGTTTTGACACAGTGGCTGTAAGTTGAAAGGGACAGAGCCAAGGCAGGAAGAACAAGTTCCCCACTCTCCTGGAGAACATCCTACTGATTATCGGATGTGGGAATGCAACTAACCACCTACCAGGAGGACAGAAAATTTCAGAGAAGCTCAACCTTTCTAGAAGAAAAACCTATCCAGACACGTTGTTTGGCCAGAAAGAATAAGCTCGGTTTGTTTCAGGGTCATTACACAGAAGGGCCAGG